ATTTTCTTGTAAACGTCGAGGCCTTCGACGGTGTAATTCCTCAAAGTAGTAAAATCTTCTACAGCTCCGTGAACATAGGCAAAGTTGCCGAATCACGTAAATCTGTGTGTCGCTCTAGGGTTTTTTTTCTGCGTGCAATTTTTCTCGTTTCATTTTTCGCTTTATTGCCGTCGTTTTTCACAACATATGTGTGTGTGTTATTCTCTGTTTTAGGTTTAGTTTTGGGCTGAGTATTATTTTTGGATAGCTGCCGACATTCTCCACTTTCCTTCTATGGTTGTATGCGACGGCGAGATGGTGCTCCTACTCTTAATCATCTGAGGTGGTGATCTTCTCCAAGAGTTTGATGGGTGTTCCGGCTGTAACTCACTCCTGCAGAGATAGTTATCCTGTCATAGTTCCTTCACTTGCTTGTTGCATCTCCCGACATTCCCACCCCTTCCTATTTCACTCCCGCACTCCAATCTTCTGTCGGCAGCCTCTCCAGCGCCCCAACCTGCTGTCGACAGCTCTCTCGCGCTCCGACTTGCTGCAGCAGTCTCTCCTGCACTCCAACCTGCTGCCAACAACCTCTCCCTCACTCCGACTTGCTGCCGACAGTCTCTCCAGTGCTCCACTCTGCTACAACAGCCTCTCTAACGCCCTACTTGGCCGTGTCCCTAGGTCGCCATCTGACCTGCTTTCTTGCAATCGCTCACAGCCTTCACCATCACCGTAGCGTGTCCTTTTATATCATATATCGCTTAATTCTTGTTTTGTGACGAGGCTTCATTGTAACACTATTTGAATTCAACAATATTTTTTATATTTGTTGTGGTTTGGGTCAACTCCGGTATCACCTCTCCCCTTGGGCGGCAACCCTAGTCCAGTCAAAAAGGCCGGTCAGCCCTTACACTTCCTAGCTGAACCGGTTGAGCCATCCCCAAACGGTTCATCCCAGGTGAGCCCTGCGGCAGTGACATAATTGCATCCAAGCCAACTATTTATGACAGAATTGCTCCAACCAATTGTAGCAATACTGCACCCTAACAAACAATTTGTTAGAGGGGTGTAATTCTTCATCCTTCCATGGATTAGCCTAAAAATACTCCATTTTCCCGAGATAAATTTTGTGGAAGGACGTGGAGGTAGAACATTTTCATCATTGACTTTGCAAGCAAAGACCTTGTGCACCTTTCAGGTCAGGAATTGAGACTTCTGCTTACTATTTCATGAAGAAGGAGATGGAACGAAGCTCTGGAGGTTGAGGAATTGCATGGTCTTTTATTTCTGTGCTAGGGAATCACAGCGGTATCAATATCGATGAAGAAAATTTAATTGCACGAATTGCAGTATCTTTTATTGCTGTGCTAGAGAATCTTAGTGGTATCAGTATCAAAGAGAAAAGGTAATTGCAGGCCTTGCCCCTCAATGTCTACAATGGTGCTGAGGTTGGCTCAATCTTGTTGAGTTGTGCAATTAGATTGCTAGTATTGTGAATAGGTTGCTTATCACAGTTTTGATCATCTTGTCCTCATTCACTATTGTGTGTTCTCAGCATTGTTTTTTACATAAGGATTCTATTCAGAATCATGATTTAAGTATGAGTTAAACTAGAACCCGAACAAAATAAACGTCTTTTGGATCTAATAAGGATCAACCTGCATTGGTGCTCTTGAATTTTATAAAATCACATGCACTGTCTGTTATTTTAGTACATCAAACTCATGTGACTTAGGGTCCGTTTGTGACCGCGGCAGGAGAGCTTCGAGGCCTCTCCCCGCGCATTTCTGTCGTTTGGCGGGGTGTCTTGCTCACAGCGGGAGACGATTCTGGCGGAACACGGGCCGCAGAAGGCACCCCGCGCCCCCCGTTCGTGAAGAGCTTTTGTCGATAATACCCCTGTGTATCGCGATGCCGAAGGAGTCTCGCGTCTGGTCTCGCGAAGCCTGTCCGCTGCTGCTGTTTTGCTGCCCAAGCATCGAGTGAAGCCTCCTGCCGCTCCTCCTACCGGTCTTCCCCCAGCTACGTCGCTCCTCCCGTCTAGTCTCGCGAAGCCTCCCGCCGGTATTTGTCCTCCTAATTATTCCTTCACATTTTACAGTTCTTCTTCTTCTTGGTTTCAGTATTCCTGAGAGTCCTTTTTGTTGGAGTTCTTTGGGCGATCTTTGTTCCTATCAAAGGTGCTTCATCGATCTTGTTCTCTTGCAAGGGCGATGTGGCAGTTGTGATGGTCTATGCTTTAGCTGGAAACTGATGCTTTCATGCTTCAATGGTTGAGAACATGTGAATGCTTAATCTTTTTGATGGCATAAAGGCGAATTTGAGCATATGGTGGGATTACAGGTTACTAGAAGGTCCTTTGGCTACTTTGAAATGTGTACATGAAAATGATGGCATAAAGGCGAAAGGCGAATTTGAGCATATGGTGGGATTACAGGTTACTAGAAGGTCCTTTGGCTACTTTGAAATGTGTACATGAAAATAATCAATTGTTAGTTAAGGATGTCTGAGTGTAAGAGAAATGACATTCTCAATGGCTGAATCTATTATTTAGTGATCTTTTTACTGACAGAATTTCTAATATTCCTCTTGATAATACTAAGAATGATGTGTTAAGAGTGAAGAGTCAACATCAGTTAATTTCAAATATGTTTTCTCATAAATGTAACACCTGGTCTGAGGTTTCTTTGGGAAGGATTTTGGCTTTTTTCAAATGTTAATTTCTACACAGTCTACTAACTATTTGTGATATTGTTAAGTTGAAGGGTCTTAGGATTCCTTCAAGGTGTTATCTGGATTCCTTCAAGGTGTTATCTATGTAAGGGGCATGAGGAAATTGCTAAAAGTATTAAATTTATGTGTATCACAATTCTATTAAGCACAATATTATTACACAGGGGCAGCATTATCATTTTTCCAAAAACAGCTACCCCACTGCTGTTTTTACACATCTACCTCAAACAGACAGTCAGCTTACCCACAACAACTTCCTGGGGCAGCGCAGCTGCAGCTGAGAAGCTGAAAAGCTGCAGCTACGCCAAACAGAGCCTAATGCAACTGGTGACAGTAGGAAAGCAAGGTGATAGGGATACTCGGGAAACCATTTGGGATTCTCCATCGAAATGGAATTCTATTCATATTAATTGTGCAGAGAATAAGAGGACTTGGTGGAGTTAATTGTATGTCTGTTATCAACTTTTTTTATGTACATGCAACTGGCAGGAAACAAAAAACTTTGTGGGATTGTTTTCTAAATTTGTGTGCATGTAAGGAACTTTCAGGGAAAGCAAAAAACTATAAGCAAGGGAACTAATATCTTAGCACCCGTAAGTACTTTACCAATTTGTTTAAATGGCGTTTGAGGAGCACGTCTCAAATTGAGGTGCAAAAAACTCCAGTGAGGCGTATGCTTTTTTTGTCTGTGGCATATGCTTTGAGATCTTATTCCCCGAGGCATTTGAGGCGGCTTTCTGTCTGGTTATGTAAAAGGGTTATATTTTATTATATTATATTACATTATATTATATTTATACTTTTATTTAATATTTCTGATACAACTCCTTGAAAGAATTAAAAGATAATTCAAGTATAATTACTTGATTGTGTTCTTAATTTCTTACTTCATTTTAAATTATATTGGATCTAATGTTAATTCATATAGGGAGTATGAAAAAAATATTGATTGAAGAATAATTAGAGAATGTCAATGAGACAGAATCAAACGATGAATAAATTATTACATATGATGAATCTTTTGTAGTTGATGAAAGTGAGAATGAGGCAACTGTGAATCTTGATTCTCATAGTGTATTTAAATTTTAATTGAATGCTTGGATGTCATTTCAAATTTTCAGTTTATTACCAAGTTCTAAGTTTGAGATTTGTGATTTGTCTTTTGAAATAAATTAAATCAATATATTAATAGTTTGCCATATTTATGCTTTTTTAATTTTTTTTCTTTTTATTTCTATTTTGATGTTTAGTTTTGGATCTCGAGAAGGCAAAATGCCACTGCTATGAATTTTGCTTTTTAAATCTTGATTTACCATCTATCTAGTAGTATGTTCCAAATAATGTCACTTATCTGACTAGCGTAACTGCTTGTGATGCTTAATGAATTCAGAGTAGTTTTTTCATTCAGAATATAATTTTTCTCATTGGATGAACAACCCCTATTTTCATTTAGTAGTAAAGATTTCTCAAAATGATTTTTCAGTTACTAATTTTAGTATGCGTCACTTAATGTGTTTTGCTTACATTTAACTGATAATCATGATTTTCATGTGTGCTGAAATACATGGGAGGAATGACCAGTTGCGTCTTCTGTAGTATTTGCTTGCCTCCGAGCATTTTTTGATGTTCTGATGAAGCAGCATGTTAACATTGAGCTTATATTTCTACTGTATTTCACCTTTTAGTGGTTTTCAGGTATAAAAACTCAGTGAAGTACCTGAGCCTTTCTATTTTAACTGTGATAATTAAATTTATTACTCTGGTGACGCATAGAGTTCAGATTGAGCAGGCTTATTACTTTTTTTTTCACATGGTACTGTATCAAATACCACCTGCTTCCTGAACTCTTACAAAGAGATTTCATATGCACTTTTATAAATTTGAGACATTAAAGGGCGACTTGCAAGAAGTTCAGGATAAGATTATTTCGTATTAAATTGAACATTGAACTCCAAAACGTTGTATAAACTAATAGTTTTAGTTAATTTCACCCATCCGACTTGTGATATTTGATAGATACAAAATTCCCATGAGCTATATATGTGCACTTGGACACCATTGAATGACTGTTATTTTTCTACATTGATACATTTCTGTGAGATAACTTAGCCATTACATGCGGCCATGTGCTATTATTGCACATGGGGCATTTCTGTTTAAAAGTCCACTTGGGGTTTGTTTGTGATGCAAATAATAACTTTCTTAGCTTGTTCTATAGATTAGTTTTTTATTTTTTTCACGTTCCATATCACCTAACTTGTGAGGTATTGAATCTTGTAAATTAGGGTTCAGAAGGATGTCATCAAGTCACTGCAGCTGCGGAATCCATTGATTCTTAGGACATCATTTAATCGTCCTAATATATATTATGAAGGTAACAATATTGAATTTATTTGTTCACACAATGACTTCTCCATTCAGAAGCCTTTTTGACACCCAAAAAAAAAAACCACAGAGATAAATAATCCTTGTGTTCTCCACCTATTTGAATTTTGCAGTGTATCGGATTTGTTCATAGATTTTGAATTTTGCAAGAGTATCCGATTTGTTAGGGGATCAATACTGTGTCACGACCTGCCCTATGAATTTGGAAGATGTCAATAAATAGGACTGGTTGAACTGATAAGATTTTAGTTTATGCGATAAATAATAACCTATCTACAAGCTGAAATATTTCAAACCAAATAAAATCCATTAAAATGCAGGTAATTTATCAATAAAAATAATATGGAGCCTAGCAATTGCATTAATTTAATAAGCTAATTCTTTTATTAATTCAATTTTATTTCTTATAACTTTAATCTTCTCCATGCCTGCAAGAAGCATTAATCTACCAACTCATTGCTCAATATTGCCCAACTACTTGAAACCACCAACTCAGTGATACTGTTTTAGGGTCCTAGAAGATGTGAAAGGATAAAAGAAAGGGATACATAGGCTGTAGGAAGGGTGAGGGAAGTGAGAGGAGGGATGTCGATTGAAATCCTGCATGAACGACATGATGACAGTGAGTCAGAAGCAGAATGATACTAGAGGAAGCCCAAACCACCATGAAAAGTATAATTATTATTACTGGATTCAAAAGTGTACACATGAGACTCTTGTGATCATAAAATAAATGAGAACAAACATACAAACGAAAAGAACATGACAACACTGCGAAAATATAACATAGAAAGCAACACAAAATACATTAACGACCAAAGGCAACACTGTCGGGGAAGGTCTAAGCGGCAGCAGGGAAGAGGTCGAGGCCTGGGCAGCAGCAGGAAGGAGGATAGAGGCCTGGACAGCAACAGAGAAGATGGTTTGCGGTTGCTAGAAGTGGGGTTGGAGGGACTGCGAAAGGATAATTGTTTCGTCAGGGGCGAGCTACAGCCGAAGCACCATCTAGATCCTTGGAGACGGTCACCAACTCAGATGAGTTATAACCGGAGTACCTTTGTGTTGTTGGGTACAACCCCTCCTAAGCCTTAAAGGCAGCACTCATCCAAAGCTGAATGCTAAAGCACTTAATAACACATATATAAAATGTAAAATTGTAAATATAATAGGTATTGCTTAAGAAATGAAAGAAATAGAAAAGGTAGGAAATAAAATAGAAGAATCATGAAGAAGGAAGGGAAGAGGGAGGGAAACGAAGAAGGAAAGAGGAGAAAGGTTGGATCGCGATACTGTAGCAGCTACAGTGTTGCGACCCGGGAAAACTCTCGCGTTACAAAACGTGGCAGCTTTTTTGCTATCAAACACCAGTAATCAACAAATTGGAAGGAGGCCTCCAAACTCTCGGGAGAGATCATCACTCTGATTCTATCAGGATACAAAAATATCATCTGAAAGAAATCCAAAGATAGAGCACTCTGATAAAGAAAACTAGGGGAAAAAATCTCTAAATAACATATTAATAACCAAAAGCCCCCCCCCACCGCAAAACAGAAAAATAAAACATTTATATAGTCTCGTTTAGAAAGAAACCTTGATTAGAAGAAAGAAATAGGAAATAAAATAGAAAAGTCAATATCCCTGCTGAATTTGCCAATCAGACGAAATTTTTCCTATTCAACCCTCATAAGTTATGCTTATTGTTTTGGCTTGTCACAGAATCGAGAAAATTATGCAAAAATCCTCAATCAGGATGAGAATCAGTACTGATTTGCAACCCTACTGTCATGTGGTCGATTTCGCGATTGCGGAATTGTTTTTTTCGGTTCTTTCTAGATCTTGGAGTCGCCAGCTTGTCTATTTATGTGTCGTCGTATAATTTTCCTATTCGAATAAGTCTCCCTCCCGAATCAAATGAATGACTCGAAGAGGAGAAAAATCGAATAGAAAAATGACGTACGACAACAAATAGTCAAACAAATCAAAAAGAAAAGAGACGGAAGACTTATATAGGGGTAATCCTCATGTGATGGGTCGAGAGTATACGTCCAAACATAATCGGATCAAAGTACCTCGAAAAAACAACATTCACGAGCAGAATCTCTATATAAGCCACCCATAACCAGAGAACCAAAAAGAACATTTTTGTTATGGGGTCAAAAGTCTCCAAGAGGAACGTATGTCTACTGGTTAATTACATCTTGGGGAATACCTAAGAAGACTCTCGATGAAAGGAGTTTCGCTTTATTATCATGAATCTGGGGCATAGGTTATCAAAAGGGGATTATTTTGTATGGGACGGTTCTCATGGTTTGCTTTGAAGCTCACGCCAAACCATCAGACAGAGAGTAAATCTCTCACATCCAAATGGATAGCGGCTCAGCACACAATACCTACGAAATAATCATAAATCACTTGACAGGGGTATCCCGATACGTCATAGCACATCCGGGCCGTAAGGGCAGAGGACAAATTGTCGTATCTCAAACGGGCGGCAGCTTATCGACATCGGGCCGTCAAAGTGATATCAACGAAGTCAAAAGAACAGAGAGGGCTCAACAGGGGCAGTCAAAGGTGGGGAGAAGCAGTCCTAAGAGGTAGATGTAGTCAGGTCGGGGTACCACGGACCCATCATCTCAAGCCACTAGGATCTTAAGTCTACCTGGTCTTGAAGGTAGTCGACCCAACACAACTAGAGATCCCCGGTCAACAATTTGTAAATCATGTCGTCCGCGGGGATTTCGGTAGCCCTAAGGTCAAAGAAATGAGACTTTATCCTATGACTATTGGCTGGAGCTCCAAGAGGTGAGACTTATACCCGCCGAAATGACGATGATGCCGCAGGAAAGAACAAGAAATGGAGGTTCAACTACAAAGCTGGAAACACTTAAACATAAGGACTTATACTCCGTCTGGATTGGGGTGCCTCCTAACACCGTAGCGTGCTAGACAACCACCTAAGTGAGATTATGCTGGGCCAGTCGTGTTGGAGAAGCACGAGGGCTACTCCTCGGGACATGCAAATATGATTCAATTGTCTAACATATTCCTAAGCGTGGAGCCTATTAAGTATGATTGAATTATAGTCATGCATGCAAATCATTTTTAAAATCGGCCCGAAGACCATGCAGAAAGTAAAGACTGATTTAAGAAAATATTGAAAGTTTTAATCCTAAAATTTTGATTATATTAATCTTTTATTATTAGGATTTTTAGGTAAAAAAATTTAAACTTGAGGTCCAGATACACAAAAAGAGAATATAAAATGCTCCAACATGCAAAGACACGCGAGGAGAAAAAGAAAGGAAAGCATCCCAAAAGAATATATAAAAATGCCAAATGACGCTGGACCGACAACATAATCCAGGAAAAACAGTAAAAGTGGCCGAACTCCGCATATATATATATATGTGTGTGCCCGGTCCTAAGTCTATACAAAAATGTAAAATTCGAACTTAAGGTACGGGACATGAGCTGCTGCTCTTGGTCCTCGTCACATGGTTCGGTGCATCATCCGCCTCGAAACCCATGCCCATACCTTAGTTCCGATACAGACTCTCCTAATACTCTATCAAATATATTTGAAATAGAAATTAAAGACTCGACCTACATAAAACAAGCGTTAGCGGGGACGCCATGCATCGTAAAAATAATAAGCCGTGTCTTATAATTGGGGGAGCTAAAGAGCACCTGCAAGCAAACAACAAGCAAAGGATTAGAAATCATTACATGCTCCCCCATAATAGCACCTGTGTGAGTGTGTATAAATAGGCACGACACCTGCAGAAGATCGTCCTGATATACTATCACACACAAGAAACATGCAAACATACCGAAAATTGCGAGAATGTGACACATGACTAGTGCAAGACAACACAACACACAACAATAGTCAGAGGTGTCAAAAAATACTACCTAGCATTCTAAACCCTAGCCTAACTCACCATTTAACGACAAGTGTATCAACATAGTATCTAAGTGTTGGGTAAGTCTGGGTATGGTATGACTTTGACGGGGTCGTCTCACCGACCCAATCCTAGGGATTCGAAAAATCTAAAGGGTGTCACGAAGAGGAGTGACATAAGTTAGATCCAATAGATTCTTAGCACAATCATACTCATGTCAATCCCGACTACTTAACTCGCATTGCTCATCGGGATTGACCCGACAAGCAATGCTCGTTAAGACATCGCGACCAATATATGAGTCACTCTCCTAACGGGTCTGACTCACTATCCATGTGAACATGCAAATGCAAATGATTGGTCGAAACACATGTAATGAGTATGCCATGGTGCAGAGACTTAAAGGAAGGTGGACATACCATAGTGGCAGTGACCCCAAGAGGTATGTTGAAGCAACAGTGACTCAATAGAATAGGCATGTCAGGGTGGCAGCTGCCTGAAGAGGATGGGCATGCCGTGGTGGCAATGGACCCAAGAGGTATGCCGATAGGGCAATGACCTTTAAAGGGTAGGCATGCCGTGGCAGCAGGGGCCCAAAGTGAACATGCAACTCAAGTATATGATCATAATCATGCAACCAAACAAATGCAAGATAGGATGTAGCAATGCAGTCATACATATGCATTACAATATGTAAAAATGCAAACCCACATGCAAGACAGTATGGTGGTGCAGGTAGTTAGTTGACCGGGTCGAGGAATCCAATCGAGCCAGAATATCATGCCAACCAACTCGGGGAAGCCGATTGAAATGCAGTGGGATGCCCGCCGGGCCTGGGGGACAGGTTGGAGCGAAGTGAAGCGCTCACCGAGCCGGGGCGACCGATCAAAGTGAAGTAAAATGCTCGCCGGGCCAGAGAGGTGGTCGAAGCGAAGTGAAATGCTCGTCGGACCGGAGCGGCGGTAATGAAGTGCTCGCCATGCCGGGGCGGCTGGTAGGAGCGAAGTGAAATGCTTGTCGGGCCAGGGCGGCTGGTCGAAGCGAAATGAAATGCTTGCAAGGCCGGAGCGGCCGGTTGGAGTTCAGT